AACGGGCCTGCTCTGCAGTGGCTCCCCAATTGTGGAATGCTCTCTCCAGGGAAGTTCGCCTGATGCCTTCATTATACACCTTTAGGTGCCAGGTGAAAACATTCCTTTTTAACCAGCCCTTTGGTTGATCCAATTTACATCCTATGCCCTTTTAAAATGTGTTCTTTTGTGGGGGGCAGTTGTTGTTGTTTTTATTAGGTATTTTGTGGTTTTACGTCTTGATTTAATTCTGTGAATCGCCCTGAGACCCCAGGGTATAGGGCGGTATATAAATTCTAATAATAATAATAATAGCAGCATCTGCTTTACATGTGAAAGGTCCTGGGTTCAGTTTACAGCATTTGACAGTAGGACAGGGGGAAATCCCCTTTCTAAAAGCCTAGGGAGCCACAGCCAGTCAGTGTATACTGTTGCACGCCATCCCAATCTCCGAACGGTGTGAGATTCCAGGGGTTCCAGGTGATTACCCAAGGTTCGGCTTCCTTGGAATGAGGGACAGTGGAGACTGTGGCATCTTTATGATATACAGTTTATTTACACAGATATACAATAAGATGGAGGGGCTCGCAGCATTAACACCCCAGCAGGTCTTGCTTCTCCAATAGCCACAGCTTTGGATCCCAGCAGAAATCAGGCATGGCTCTGCCTCTCAGCTGTCCAGCCTGCTTTTTGTCTTTTACTTTTTGTCTCTTGCCTTTTGTCTTTCTAATAGACAGTTGAGGTACAGAGCCACTTCTGTTGTTGCCATACTTTTGGACCAATTCTTTTGGAGCCATTATGGCCCTTGCCTGGCTCTCTACTCTCTGCATGTTTATCTGGTGCGTGAAGGGGCTGTACTGAATGCAAGTATTGCAAGAGTGTGTACCTGCTGTGTCAACAGCACCGTGTGGCCTCACATCTCTGCCCCCCTTAAAAAAAAAGATATTTCAGTTCATTGTGGCGGATGTTCAGTACGCTGCCTTGGTATTTCTTATAAATGAAAGGTAGTGCAGACATGCTTTTAATAAATGCAAATAAATAGCTACCTGCCCAACTGCCGGCAACGGAGAGCTGGCCTTGTGCTTTGAAAGTGAATAGCAGTTTGATATACTGTCTGTTGGTCTCTCGTAATATGACACGGAGCAATAGTTTTTGATAGTCTGATATTTCAGCTGTGCCTCTAATTGTGCTCAGCCTGTATATTTGCAAAGAAATGCAAATTTTACAAAACACCAATAAGCTTCGGTTAACCTCCTTTCCAGTCCTCTGTTTTACCTTTCTATGTGGTTTCTGGGAAGGAGCAAGAGCTTTCTCCATCTTCCTCAGACTAGGTGGCTGCATTTCCTGTAACTGAAATTTGCTCCGCCCATTCACATACAGTACCTTCCAGTTTTTCACAGATACAGCAGATGCTTATTTGTGCATATAAGGATGATTCTCACACCGAGGACCACTGCCTAAAAGGTGGGCGAGGGGAGCACACAAACACAAACACGCCTTCTTTTCTGACTCATTTACTCTGCGATTGCTGCTGCTCCTGCTGCTGAAACAGGATGTGTTCATAAACTGACCACAACTGTTTTCTTTTTTCTTCTTTTTCCTTTTTTAAGCTTCAGAATCATTCCCTCTATTGCTGGTGTTCAGTCTGGAAGTTCCATTGCTCAAAATGGCACCACCCACAGACAAGAGGGAGGTATGGGCAGACCTGAGGGAACTCCACGTTTACCAAGTAGAACAAATATTTAGAGGGGAGATTAAGGGTAGGGGGACCAGACCAATGTGGACTGTGCATGCTCAATGGCTGCAGCACACTGAGTGTGTGGGAGCAGAGAGGAAAATGGGGGCAGGGAGAGTGGAATCGAGTGACTGGAATCCTGGACAGCAGCATTCCACACTATAAAATTTTGCTACAGGTTTCACTTGTGTTTAACCAAATTTTCAGCTTTACTACAGATCAGACTGTTGGGGTATGTGTGTGTTTAATATCTGCAACATGTTCAGCAATATTTACTAACTGTTTAGGTTGTTCAATAGGGAGAGGATTCGAAGGGACGCAGGGCATCCTTAAGAATTTTAGCAAACATGTGGGCAAGCAGTTTAAAGGTGTTCCCAGCATCTCACAATAGACAAACTATCATCACAATGAAAATAGTGTTTTTACCAAGGACAGGTCCCAGAAAGTAGTACCTACTGCCCATGGTAACTAGGGACGATTGGAATGTATGAATGCCTGGAAATTGAAGATTCCTTTTCAGCTTTCTAACTATTTTTGGATGGTCTCAGTTTGATTGTATTGACCTGAATCTTTGAGCAAAGAGTCCCCTTCTGCCTGAGCGTTCTTGGAAGGAAAGGGCCTTGCTGAAAGCGGGAGAAGGGATCCGTTGTGACTGATGGAGCTGCATCTCAGTGATGGGTTTTGACAGCCAGCCCCACTTAAAGGGACTGCTTGTGTTTGCCTTGCTAGGCTCCTGTGCAGGCCTTTGTTGTTGGAGTAGTTAAGTGAAAGGCAGCTCACACTCTGAATAAGCCACTCATTCTCCCTGTGAAGTCTGAGGACCTTTTCAGCAGTTTGGCAAAGGCAGAGCTTGTAAGCAGCATATTGACAAGATCTCGTCTGCAGCTTTCCATGGCAAGGGTTCCCTGAAAGATAACATAACTTGCACCTTTGGGATGTCACTGTCTCTTTTACACTACAGTAGAGCAGTATCTCAGTGTAGAGTTTGAAAGGACCTTAGTGCAGTGTGACAAACACTGGCACATTGTTAGAAAGAATTCGGAACAAACCAGGTGGGTGGTATTCAATGTCACTCTCTTGCAGTTGTTCCATTTTCACAAGCATTGCAGCTTGCCAGATGGAACGATCCTCCCTCTGCCCCTCATGTGCTGTTCCAGGGGTTCTCCTGACCCACCCCACTTTTGTAGGGAATGGGGGGGTGCACAGGGAGGGGGTAACCCTGTTGCTCAAGCAGAAGTCCTTGTGCAGGGCTTCCACTGATTGGGCTGTTTAGGTTAATCCCGCCCATCAAAATTAACGAACATAACTTAGGGCGATTAATTTCAGTGGGTCTGCTCTAAGTAAAACTTAGTTGAACACCACCCACTGTTCCTATATACGCAAGTGAACTGGGACTTTATTCAGACTGTTTTGGGGAGTTCAGTAATCTGTAGGGGCATAGTAGAAGTCTTGCCTTGAGGCACAGAAAAGATAAGTCCTCAAAAGCAGAGCTCTGCCCAGCCAGGCCAGCAAGACTACATCTGATTCAGAAGTATGTGGCTCAATCACAACAGTTGTCCTGTTGGGTATTCATTTTTGTAGAGTGGGAGGTCACCTCCATGTTGTGTATCTTTGAGAAGCCTTTCCTGTGGCTCAGACTAGCCTCCAGCCAAAGAGGGTTCCTGTAACTACTACAGAACTATGCTTCTGCTGAAAAAAAGAGGCTGCCAGAGGATGACACCCTTCCCTCGCACAAATGAGGTTCAACTCTACTACAGTGCAAATGAGTACAGAGTTGTGAGGCGGGTGTCCCTCAGCTGCAGCTGCAAATCGCACAGCAACACAAAGCTCTGTGTTGTGTGGCCTTGCAAAAGTGTTGGCTATTGTCTCTTTCTCTCTTCCATGAAGGAAAACAGGGTTGCTTCCTCAGCCTGCACCCTGGCCTCCTCTCCCTTCAGCTTCATTGGAGGAGGCATACCCTCTCTCTCTCTCTCTCTCTCTCTCTCTCCTCCCTCCCTCCCTCCCTCCCTCTCTCTCGACTTTGTGATTGTTTGAGGACTTGAACTTCCCTAGCAAAGAGATTGCCTTCCCTCCACACTGTATGTTTCGTTAGACATTTTCTCCCTCTTAAAGGAGCGATTGGCCAACTGACACCAAAACTCTGGATTGAAGGGAAGCCATCGCCTCCATAGTTAGGGAAACCATCCTGAATTATTCTGGCCTGAAATAAATTATATTATAGGGTTAGTATCTGCCTTTTAGGAAATGTGTTTGTGGGTCTGCCATTCTAGTGATAAATAGAGCAGTTAAGTGTTTGGTAACATCACTTAGTTCAAGATGAGGTGACTTAACTTTTGGTTCCTTGCCCAAGGAAAAAGAGCTTTTCTTGAAAGCAACATGAATGGGATATTTATAAAGCAACGGGCTGATTTAAACATTTTGGAAACAGCTTACAAGCATTGTGCAGGAAGACAATCATCTCATGTTCCATGGCCAGAGAAAATGCAACTCCTCACTAAATGGATGTCAAAATATGAGTGCATGTAAAGGAACTGTCAGCTTATTTTCTATGTGTAGCCTAGGGGTGTGTACAAACATATATGCATGCAAATCAGAACTTACCACAATTCTTTCTTTGACATCTCATGCCTGGATTCCTGCTTCTAAGGTGGCACATTTAACAGGTACACTGGCCAACAACACTGATTTATTTGTCTGCCTTGCCCTTCCTGTGCCATGCTTCAGCTGGGTTGTTCAATTTATTTATTTTTAAAGCACTGTGGATACATTTATTGAATTAAATGTACTTTCCCCTGTGTTGTTGTTTTTTTTAAACAAAAACAAAAACAAATCATAGAATCATTTTTACATGTTTGAATGCTGCTTTAGGAATAAGGAGGGATGGGCTAGTGATGTCACCAGTTTTTAACCAATCGGTATTGTGCACAGCCATCTTCTGCCATAAACACACAAAACTAGTTTCCCCTGAGTTCAGTTAATGAGAAAAGGTAGTATATTAAAGTTTAGATTCTAAATGAAAAAAATCAAACAAACCAGAGAGCGTTTCTGAGGTTATACATCAAAATGTCTGTATTCATCCTTGTTAGCACAGGAATGTTAATAGTTTTGGACAGAGAAATGTGTGTAAATGCCAATAGCAATCTTTATACTGTAGTGTAGCATGTGAATTTGGAATAATCTGCTTTGGGAGTTTCCAAGGAGAAATAAGAAGTTGTTTGCAGATTTTCTGTGCTCACCAACCCTTCCTTTAGCTATTAACCTTTTGAATTTCATTTTGCTTTTCCAGTTGGCAGGCTCAGCTGTCGTCGCATTTGGGCTATGGCTGCGGTTTGGAAACGTATTAAGAGATTTAGCGACTGACAAGACCTCTCCGGAATACATTTACATGGGTAGGTTCTGTGTAAATACTGACTATGTAAAGATAGGTTTTCTGCAACCTTCAGACCGAGAAACTGGGTACCTGAATGGCATATTTTCCCACGACACACTAGTGGCACCCTCTGACAGTTCTCTCTCTCTCTCTCTCTCTCTCTCTCTCTCTCTTCTTAGTGCACACATTTACAGCCTGCTCTCGCTGAGCAGCAGTAGGATCAGAAGAGGGAAAGGCTGGGAGTGTTGGCTCTTTAGGGTTAAGAAACACACATCTGTGCAATGTCAAACACACAACATAGTAGAAACAAATTTTATGCTAGCAATCCCTTGCTGGCAGATAAAAAATCCAAATTATATTACTGTAAGTACTGCAACTTAGACAGTTTGCAAATGTTTGCTCCAAGCTCCGTGATGTTAACTGTGAAGAGACCCATGGTATTTCAACTGTTCTTGCCGCTGCCCCCTCCCCCCCCCACACCTGAGGAATAGAGGCTGTAGCCTGAAGTGGAACACTAGTGCATGAGGAGAAGGGCTTCTTAACCCTTTCCCTTCACATAATTTTTCAATTGAACCTCCCACCCTGCCCCCCCAGCTGCTTTTACCCCACAAAATAGAAAATATAGGGGCACTCAATGTGGGTTTTTTTTATACCTATAGCTTTCTCTTAGGACAGGGTGCAGAACTTTTCTCTGCAAGGGCCACACTTCCTTTCAGCAATTTGTCAGGGGCCACGTATCAGCGCTAGGTGGACCTGAAGCCAGTGCTAGGCAGAACCAGAGCTAAAAGTAGGCAGCCACCCACCTTTGCCACTCACTTCCTGCCATCTCCTTTTCTCTCCCATGCCCGCCTGCCTGCCTGCCTAGCGGCCTGCTGAGGAACTGAGAGAGATCTCTCCCTTGCTAGAGATCCAGGCTCATTTCTGATAGGGGTTTTTTCACTTCTCCACTTTCCATTCCTCCTTACTTTGTCAGATTTCCCCTCCCATTTTCCCCACATGAAATTAGGCTGTGTAAAATTAGGTCCTCAGTTTCTTACCACATTTTAGGATTAACCAAAGGTCAGACCCGGGAGGAAGAAACTGTTATCTTTCTCCTCACCCCATTTAACCTTCCACTTTCCCCCAGGAAAACCTGTGCTTTAGTGCTGAATCGGAACAATGGGCAATCAGGTTTTCTGCGGATTGCTGTTTGTTCCAGTTTAGCACCAAAGAGCTGGTTTTCTAGGGGGAAGAGGCAGCACAAAGGCAAAACCTCTCGGACCCATGCCTAGAAAGCGGGGGACAAGCAGAAAATCACTTGGGCCTCTGTTTTCTAGGATAAGCAGAAGTGTGGGGCGATTCCTAAGTTGAGCTCTGTTTGACTGAGCTGAGTCTGAGATAGGGCGGACCTGTTGGGGTTTTTTAAACTTTTAAACAGTTGATTAATTTTTCTATTAAAAAAAACCCCACAAATAACTTTAAGGAAAAGAATGTCCCTGCTGTGTTCAAGCCAATAAAAGATGGGCAGCTTTTTGAACAGAGCAGGAGGGGAAAGACAAGCTAGTAAACTGCCATTCAGTTTGCTAATTAGCATATCCACCCAATGGGTTGCCAAGGCAAGGGGAATCCATGCAGAGACCCCATGTCTTACATCGTGGATTTGAATGTGAAGTGATCCACATGAACAACATCCAGCACAGTCACAATACGTGGGCTGTGCCAAAAAGGCATTTGAATCCAGTTATTTTAGGGTTTTTTCCATTTGATGTGGATCTTGTGACAAAATTTTATTGTTCACGCTTGTTTCATCCTTATCCAGTCCCACATGTGTAGGAAGGAAGGAAAGCACAAGCTTGCTTGCCTGGCTGGCTGTGTTAACTGTCAGGGCAAGAGAAATACTGGCAAAGCTGAACTTGTGACAAGGCTGAAGTATCACAGAGCCTCTGTTATTCCTCCCGAGGGCCGACATCTCTCCAGAGAGCTTTAAGTGTATCTCACAGAGTGAGGAGCTGGCCCAGAGCCCGGTGTTTCAAGCACAAAGAACCATCAGACCTGAAGAAGTACACAAGCCAGAATGTAGAGTGATTGGCACCCATTTTGTATCCCCTTGGGGATACAATTGTTCAGGAAGGTTTTAGTCAAAGGGGGAAATAAGAACTGGATTCATTAGAAAATCTTTCTTCATGGAACTGTTAATTCATCCAAGAATCAAAATACCTTCCAAGCTGGACTGTTAATGCAATCAACAGGAGAGGCCCTGCTTGTGGTTCCATTGGTGGTGGCAGTGAGGTTTGTTGCACACGACAGGGCATTCTTGGTGTTGGCACCTTACCTGTTGAACTTCCGGGTGAAATCAGGTTGTCCCCATTCCAGCTCAACAACACAATTTGAAAACTTGCATGACTGGTGTTGTGACAGTATTATCTGCTGCTATTGTTATTGATGAGTATTTGTTTGGTGTTTGATGCATTGTTTTATGTCGTTAGCCACCCTGTGTTCTTGTTTTGGGAGGAAGGATGTGAAATAAAAATGAGAATCTGAGAAATGCACAAATTAATGTAGGGCTCCTCACCAGGTAGGGGGGAGGCGGGGCACGTTGATGCACGGGGCACATTGATACACCAACAATATTTCAATATCGGGAAATGTTATTCATGTTGCGACATTACTAAAACGTGTCTATACATGTGTGAGTACAACAGTTGCGACCGCACTGCCCACCAGTTAGCCGTTGGCGTTTGACAAGAGTAGGTGTGTTTTTAGCATGGCTAGCTAAAAAATTATGTGAAATGTAAAAGTGTTCCAACACTGATTTACATCGTTTAGTTAAGATTAAAAAATACCAAAGGTAAGTTATTCCACTCAGTAATCGGGATTACACGTGATTTTTAAATAAGTTCAGTGGTTTTATTAATAATTGTTAGTTTATTGATACATTGATACATATAAAAGTGCCCCGCTAGTGTACAATAGTGCCCCAATATACAAGTTTGCATGAAATCTCTAAACTCATTAAATTTGAAAAGAAAAAAACTGTTGTTTACTACGTGGCCAAAGTCATTTCTAAATATAATATGACAGAATATCAAGTGTCATATCTCAGGGAAAAACCAGGATCTTGTATTTTTGTCTTCCCCATTGTAGAAGATAAGGCAAGTGTTGATTTCAAGGATGTTGTTTTGCCGTTGCCAAAACCAAATTTCCCAAAGGGCACATCTCGAACATCATCTCTTTATACTTTTTCTATTGACTAAGTGGATATAATGTGCAATAGAAGCTAAACGTTAAGTAATTATCTTATTTTTTAATAAGCGTTTTGTTTAAATTACTATTTTTTGACTACCTAATGTGAGTTCTTATACTTTTTCAGTTTTTTCAGGTTTTTTTTAATGGATAGGTGTTTGAGGAAAGATTACTATAAGTTTTGATGTCTTGTTAAGAAAACCTGCCATGAAGTCTATGATATGTGTGAAACACTGTTAGTTTTGATACGTAATTTCGATTTTAAGTAACAAATTGTAAGACTGATTATGATCTCTCACAATAAAAAATGACTTTTCATTAAATTTTTGCAAATGATTACCATTCTCATACAATTTACGCTTTGTATCAAAGTGCCCCGTCCAATGTATCAAAGTGCCCCGTAGGTGGGGTAGAATGATACAAAAACCCCTTCTTTTTTTTACTGAAGTCGTTATATTCTCATTATCTTCTAACTTTATTGGTTCTTTTGATTGCTACTATAATATTGATTAGTTATGCCATGCATCGAGCCAATTTTTTTATTTTTTTTTATTTGACTCATTTTTTGTTACATGAAATATGAGATTAAATTTTTCTGTATCAATCTGCCCCACTTTCCCCTATATAAACGAGTTTAAGGTTTTAATCACATGCCCACCTACCTAGGAGTAGGCCCCACTGAACTCCTTGTTACTTGCTTTTGAGCAGACATCTTTAGGGTTATGCTGTTAGCCTGCATTTCTGTTGATATTTTGGTCCCACACCCTTATGTGTCTGTTAGTACATGGGTAGGCAAACTAATCTGGCCCCATTGCTTTCTAAATCCGGCCTGTGGACGGTCCGGGAATCAGCATGGTTTCACATGAGTAGAATGTGTGCTTTTATTTAAAATGCATCTCTGGGTTATTTGTGGGGCATAGGAATTCGTTCATTCCCCCCCCCCCAAAAAAATAGTCCGGCCCCCCACAAGGTCTGAGGGACAGTAGACCGGCCCCCTGCTGAAAAAGTTTGCTGACCCCTGTGTTAGAACATCCCAAATCTGACCTCAATGTGTAAGCGGGGGGGGGGGGGAGCTGTATTTCAAGTAACATTTGCTATGGGAAATTGAGGCAGACCATGTTCATTTGAACTAACCTTCAGATAATCCTAGAAGTTCTTATATTTGTCCTATGTCCCGTGGATCTGTTAATGTATACAATTGGATCATTTCCTAGCTTTGCAGCTTGACAATACAGAGAAGCATATTGCAGTTTGAATAAAATTCCCTCCAGTTTCACAGAAGCTTGGCAGTAGCATTCAGTGTGGTACAGTGAATCAGTATTTATGGTATGGTCAGATCTGGTTCAGCTCCTGCTGAAATTTTTGCTCAAAAATTATGGTGTACTAGAGGACAAGCAAAACAAGATTCATTTTCAATTATATGGCAATATATATATACGAAAGCAAATATATATATATATATATCTCAATGATTATAACAATTTTCAAATGCCTCCTGTGAAAAATGCTATTTGGAATTCTTAAAAACTTTTTAACTTAACTGACAATGACATAAGACCTTGAGAACAATATCCTGATATTTATAAATAAAACATTTTTTTAATGTTACTAGCCCCCAACACCAATAATATCATTAATATTTCCAGGGATTGTGAACAACAAGACCCAAATTCGTATTTTGTATATGTGTATGTTTCATCTTCATTTCCATTGAGTATCTTTTCTTTGATACTTCATTGTTGTGTGTTATCAAAATATATGCTGTTGCTTAAATAAATAGATATCAAAAGAAAAATT